AAAAAAAGTGATGGGCTGCGCCCAGCCTGGTACGAAATCCTGGCTCCGCCACTAAGTGTCATAATGAAAAAGTGAGTGACTCAGATTGTCGACTCTATCAGAGGTATTTTGTAATGGCAATGACTGAAATTCGGAAGGAGTAGAAGGATTGCTGTTCCGATGTGGAAACAGCAAAGGCATGTCGAAAGCTAACTACAGATAAGAATTGTATTGGTATGTAGAAAGGCAATGAAACTTAGTCCATCTGCGGGGTAATAATAAACCAGACTACAGGAGACGAGATAGTTCCATGATTCATGACAGTTGAAAGATGAAGGCCTGTGTGGTCGACAGCAATTCAAGTGTTTTTTTTCGCTTGACTGCACTTCACTCGAACTTGTTTTTGAACTGACTCGACTCGTTCCGTACCTGGCCAAAGTGAATCTGAGCAATTTATATGAGCGGAAAATTGAGATTTGAATATGTTTTTCAAGATATATTTTTTTGGTTGTTAACAACGGTTCAATTAACAAATGCCTGTTTAATGTGATAAGTTAGATCGAAAAAAATTTGATTAACTTCTTAAGTAAAATGGTTCTGAATTATTCAACTTAATTGACTTGTATTTGTGTTTCCAACGTCGTAAAATCGGCGTTCTGTTGGCAGTTGTGGCTGTCTTCGTCGTCCTTGAACAGTGATAACAATATTGAATATTGTTACACCCATCGATATGAGAATGACTACTATTGAACCAATTACAATAATTGTTATTCTCCGACATCCATGCAGTATTTTATCTCAGTCTGCTAGCGTCCAGACTTTTACGTACCTGTAAGTTAATGAATCATTTATGACAAGACCAATGTCGAAACCAATTGATAATAGACCAATTATAATATAACAGATACCAGTTGCGTTTAATTTATCTCGCAATGACCGCGGTATATCTGCTAGAAGATGCATGTTGACGCTCGTTAATGATGAGGCAGGTGATGGTGCAGTTACCATTGCAATCGGCATAAACTGGACAGCAGGGGCCTGCTGTTGCTGCGAATCGTATTGCACTGTATACTGTGGTGGTACCGGTTGTTGAAATTTTTGTTCCATACTTTTTTTAAGATAATGATTTTCTATTTCGCTGAAATATTTTATGTGTTGTATGACTTTTTACTTCCAGATAATGACACGTACCTCTACTTTTTATCTCTGCTTCGTGCATGTGTGTGTGTGTGTTTACTGAGTAATATTTGCAATGGAAGATGATGATAATCAGAGAGACCATAATAGAGGTGGACCATGTAAAGTGCATTTGTTTGCCGATAAATTCTTTAAATATTTTCAATGTACCCACGTGTCACACTTCTAGGTATTGTATTCTATGGTTTATCGAAATATTTTTCAAGTTTTATTGGAAATTAGGTTGATATCTCTGTACATAATGCTTTATCCAAGACTGCATACCCTTTATAATATTAAGATCAGGTTTGACATGTGGATAATAAACCATGTATCTTATGTGGCTACTAGATAACCAATAATGTCTTGCTGTATGTGATGGTGATAGTTTATTCAAAATATTTGAAGAATTAATCGGCAAACAAATGCTCTTTGAAGTAGGCAAAGTAAAGGATGATAGAAGATTTCAAGCGCTATCAGAATGTATAGTTACTTCTGTAAAAGGGTATCTCCATATTCATAATAACTTTATAAAACGAATGAAAAAGGAAGAAAAAATGGAATTTGTGGGAATCTGAGGATGAGGGTGTCTTCATTGTACTCGAAACATTTTTCAGCAAATAAGTGCAAGCCCAGACATTTATATGCAGTGTGATAGTGAATTTCGAGCTCTGTCGGAATATGGGATTAATTTTGTAAAAGTGTATCGTTATAAGGAAAATATCTTGAAAAATCTATGTGCAACTATTTTTTTTCAGGCGTATATGATCAAAGTCTCAGCTATATACTTCTTTTCCTAGCTAAGTTATGAGTTCTATTTCGGCTGATTTTCGCTGGGAAACAGAGAAAAAGGCCTATAACTTTTGAAGGAAGCGCCATGCAACGAAATTCTTCTAGAGCTGTTACTACCTTGACACACTCTATCGAACATCAAAATGTCCCTCGAATCGGAGCGGGGTCAGCTGGCGATGTTCCCTCGTTAGTCAAGAGAAGTGAACGTGATTAGCAATGTGTGTGAGCATCTTCAAAAGTGTATACACAAAAACTGCAAAGATCAGGAGATACCGCTGAAGTTATTGGGTAAGTAACTAAGTCAAAAAACTTGCATCTCAAACACACAACCTCGATAAATTTAGTGCCTAAAATTGTATCTTCGTAGCAGTAATACTATCGAAGAACCACCATTTCACCTAAATCACGATTAGTCTCATCAACGAGCTTCTTCTTCAGTCAGAAACCCATTTTTTCCTTTTTTTTCTCCCTCACCTCTCTCTTTTTCGTGCCTGTTCCACTCGACGCTCTTCTTTTTTCCCAAAACTAATGAAATAGCATCGGATTCCATCATCATCCATCAGATAATGAAATAAATCGTAAACCATAACGATTGAGTTCATTAAGTATTCAGATTTAGTAAAACTGAATAAAAACTTTGAAATGGGTAAAGAAGGAACCGATTATGATGTTGTTTCAAAAAATATACAATTTAGATTCTCTCGATACGATACCGCCTGGGAACTCAGATTTTTTCCCTCAAAAACATGAAAAAACATCATATTTCGATCTGATCTCAACAGTACGGCCATTTCAAATGCAACGAACTTACTCTTTTTTTCTCTCCGTGACGTTTTCTTCAAAGGCAAAAGAACTTGAGAGCTTGCTTCTACTACAGAATTGTACAAGACATTTAGTTCTACCAACGTTGAAAAAAAGAATAGATTTCGCTGGAACGCTACGCCAGGCGAGACGAAATGCCTAGCGTAACGGGCTTACAAAAAACAGAAGTGAACTTTGAAGTATCCGAGAAAAGTTCAGCGACTGCCTACACTCACGATGGGATTATAATAGCTGATTTTGTAGCTCGGATTTCGAGCTTCCCTATAGCGAAAACCGAGGAAAACCTACCGCTTGGTCATCGAAAAATCTTCAAAGCAAAAAACGTAACGGACTTACACGTTTTTGGCATTTTTTGGACTGAACTGCATCACCTTCAAATTTCAATACAAAATAGCCAAAACCTTTTCTTATTATTGTAGCCCGCATATTTCTGATTAAAATGAGACGTCTTCCAGCTCTACATGACTTTTCTTTGCAAAGTTATAGAATTTACAATTAGTTTCTTCTTATTTCTGTAGCTTTGAACTGACAATAAATATTTAGGACTTCTCTTGTACATTCTATAACTGTATAATGAAAGGTCATGTAGAGCTGGGAGACGTCTCATTTTAATCAAAAATGTGCGGGGTACAACTGTGCCTAATTGGTTCTGGTTATTTTTTAGAATTTCTGAAAAACTGGCTTTCCAGAAAACCGGATCTTCAAGAGCCATGGTGAAAAATCCTTCTAGGGTATTTACTACCTCACTGAGGTCTATCGATCCATGTGCAAAGCATAGAACTTTGTAACTGAATGAAAGCTTTCGACTTTGCTCACTCGGGTGGACTCTTATGTGGAATGGTCGAGTACAATAATAATGTTTGTGTAAGATGTAAACGTCCATTATTCGGCCATCTAATTTTGACCTGTTCGACTGCAATATAATTAAACATACAAAACCTTAAATAGAAAATTCATTTTTTCTAAATCAGAGGCGAAAAAGTCAAAATTCTGCCTGTAGTTCTCGATTTTCTTTAACCGAACTCAGCTTTTGTGCAATGAAAATATTATATTCAGAATCAGGATTAAAAACTGAGCCGAATGATGTGCATTTCGAAATTTTTAGTTGGTTTTCATTATTTGGTGAAAATCCTGATGATTTTTCAAATTGAGATTCTAAAAACATTAAAGTAGTCGGATAGGTTAGAGATACATAGCATTAAAGATACACCGTACAAGAACTATAACAAAGAGTATTTTAATGGGACTCCGGCAGACTTCATGGGATTTCAGTGGACCTCATGGGGCTTCAAAGTCCTGAAGTCCGTTTTTCCTTCCTTGATGTTTACCTGTACTTTAATTCGTTGTGTTTTCTTCGAAGTTCTAGTTGCTGTTCTGGCAAACATGTAAACAAATGCTATTCAACTTTTACACTAGAAAGAAGTGAATTTTTTTCTTCTGTTCTGGGCTGGGCTGAAAAACTAACATCATACAGAGCCTTGATCACAAATGGATTGCAGGTTCTAAAAAACACATCCATCTAGCTGTGGCTTTGTCTCTTCACAGGTTTGGAGGCTCTATTTCGAAGACAAAATTTTCGATCACTTGAAATCGTGTAGTTTCGAAAACTTTTTTTATGAAGAAGAGTTACTCCGATTGTGCTTCAATTAGTTCTACAGATCATAGTTTCAAGAATATAAAGATATGTGTATCTAAAACAACGAAAGAAAGTTCAATCCGGTTAAATCATTATTTGTTATGTCCTGAAAAAGTGTAGCACACAGTTTACAACGCGAAATTCCATTGTTCCAATTAAAATTTATACACAAGCAAACAAATGAAATCAAAATTATCCAAAAGAAGTTAAAAGAGCGCACGAGAAAAAGTATTCTTCATCATTATATCACAATTTATTAAAATCTAAACCGTATCGCTGTTGTGGACGATAAATCATCGAGTTGCTAACATTGTGTTCTAATTGCCAGCATGCTCGCCAGCATGCTTGCCATTAAAGAAAGTAAATGATGGATATATCGATTGCTTAGGGTCGATCGATGAACGAGAATTTTGTCGCAGGCATTATCCTTCAAATCCAACAAAGAGGTATCGATGCTCAGATTCCGACAAATGTATTAGCCCTGGGGATTTATGTAATTGTCGAGAAGATTGTCCTCGAGGTGATGATGAACGTCGCGTGTGTCCATGGTTAAATTCAACAAATTGTATATCTGGATGGTATTTATGTTCCGATGGTCAACACATACCACACGATGCTGCACATTGCGATCTGCAATCAAGTTGTCAGTTGCAGGAGGACGATAGATTTTGCGATCTAATTGATAAATCACGTATAGTGCCTTTCGATCTGGGCAATAGATTTGGTCATTTATTTGATGATTATCCATCAAGAGAAAGTAAGCGTATTAATGATGCACGGTCTGATTACACACGTTTCATTTTTAATGTTTGTTTGTTATTAAGTTCGTTCGATTACGCAGAAATTTGACCAGGATGAGCAAAACAATGATTATGTGGCATGGTATTGCAATCCTGGTGTGTTAATATATGGAAGCGAAGAGAAAAACGACACATGTTTATGTCCACCATCGAACTATGGTGATCGCTGTCAATATCAACGTAAACGATTGTCTGTGATATTACAGATACAAAAACTAACAGCCTTTAATATTAATCGCGTATTCAAATTGTTAACATATCTCTACGATAATGAAAATGATAAAATTGTATCACATGAACAAATTGTATATCTATCCCTAACATTATGTCTACCAAAATACACATTTGATTTATTATATCCTATTGGCGAAACACATCGAAATTATTCAGTTTACGTACATGTCTTCACTATTGAGGAAGATTACGCTGTATATAATAAACTATCATGGTATTTTGATGTTAAATATCAATTCTTGCCAGTTAATCGTCTTGCCAGACGATTGATTCTTACGATACAGCGACATTACCGCGAACGACATTACCGCGAGACAATACCGCGAACGACGTTA